TCTACTATGGATTGACTTTACCAGAACAGAGGAAAGAAACATATACTATGGGTTGACTTTTAATACCAGAACAGAGGAAAAAAACATCTACTATGGGTTGACTTTACCAGAACAGAGGAAAGAAACATCTACTATGGTTGACTTTACCAGAACAGAGGAAAGAAACATCTACTATGGGTTGACTTTACCAGAACAGAGGAAAGAAGAATAGACAGATGTGGATTTGAAAGATGCAGGAAAAAAACACAAGATTGACAACCCTGACAGATAAATCATACTGACTAAGTACATTCACTGATCAACCAGCATGCCTAGGGATTGATGAAGTCTCTCTGGAAGACTTAAAGGTGCACAGATTTTATGCTAATAACTATTTAGATAGTTTTATATATTATTTTTTTCTTCAAATTACTCTGGTCAATAAATAATAAGTACATGGTTGCTTCGATGGAAATAAAATGTTGAATGTACTCGATTCAATTTAATCAGGGGTGAGGTATTGTAGGTTCCATTCAAAAAATCAATTGAGTATGGAATTTGATTGGGAGAGAAGCTTCATTCTTTTTTTACAGTACTTCAAAGTAGTTATAGTGATATAAAATGAATTATATTATACATGTACCAGTGTATCACTGCCATCAATGCATCATTGTGATTGGCTGGGAGACTGTTTTAATTTATGCAAGCCATGGTTAAATATCTAGCATAATGCACAGTTATGGTGTTCCAAATAAGGCCCCAGAATATGAATGAAGTTCAATTCGTAAACAAATAAAAGGAAGGGCATTTACATTTTAGGAAAATTTTGAGGTAATATTGATAGCATGGAGATATTATATACATATTTTATTTTGGCAGTGGTTAAATAAAAAATTGTACAACCTACAATTTTTGCATGCTATTCTTTGCGACATGTTTTCGTTGTCTGCAACATAGACATGGCCGAGTATCATGTTCGGGAGCTGTCAGAGCATGATTTTCTTGCAGAAACCGGAGAATTCATGTAGGCGGAGAGAAAGAAACGCTTTGCCAATTTTAATGAAATTTACCTTGACGATTTCGAAACACAGGCTAAAATGTATGCTACCGGCAGCGAAAATTGTCACGTTGCAGCATTTCAAAATGTATTTGTCCAAATTGCAAAATGCGTTGTTTCAGAGGCCCCGTGTAAATCTCAGACTAGTAATACAATTACTAGACTGAGTGTAAATGTAACACCCACGGACACAGTCTGGTATTTGTGAAAAGAAATTGGAATCAATGATGAAAGAGATTTCGATAGCAGCAAATTTGTTGACAATTCGTACAAATCAATATGTTAGGGCAAATGCGTGCGCTGTGTTAGATTCGGCAGGAGTTGAACCCAGACACATTATGTATTTCATGGCACATAAAAACGAAGCTAGTGTTCGGTCTTACACCAAAAAACTCACAATTAATCAGAGTCAAGGAATGTCCAGTCTCGCAGTTATAGGTATAAAAACAAATCCTCTGATAGAGAAGTGACCGTAGAGATCGAAGCGGGTGTTTCCGACAACGTTATACATACCCCAGACAACAACGACGTAGTAGCGTCTGGACCAGCTCCCGCAGAATCTGGCACCGCTTCTATTTCTAATACCCACAATCAAAGTACACATGCAGCATCTGCCTTGTTCCATAACTGCACCTTTAGTGGACCAATTAATGTCAGCATAGCAAACACAAAATAGTTTACTACGATATCCTCCAGGGGAGTACATCAACCTGGGTAGTTCACCACAATATCCTCCAGGGGAGTACATCAACCTGGGTAGTTCACCACAATATCCTCCAGGGGAGTACATCAACCTGGGTAGTTCACCACAATATCCTCCAGGGGAATACATCAACCTGGGTAGTTCACCACAATATCCTCCAGGGGAGTACATCAACCTGGGTAGTTCACCACAATATCCTCCAGGGGAATACATCAACCTGGGTAGTTCACCACAATATCCTCCAGGGGAGTACATCAACCTGGGTAGTTCACTACAATATCCTCCAGGGGAATACATCAACCTGGGTAGTTCACCACAATATCCTCCAGGGGAGTACATCAACCTTGGTAGTTCACTACAATATCCTCCAGGGGAATACATCAACCTGGGTAGTTCACCACAATATCCTCCAGGGGAGTACATCAACCTGGGTAGTTCAGTACAATATCCTCCAGGGGAGTACATCAACCTGGGTAGTTCACCACAATATCCTCCAGGGGAGTACATCAACCTGGGTAGTTCACTACAATATCCTCCAGGGGAGTACATCAACCTGGGTAGTTCACTACAATATCCTCCAGGGGAATACATCAACCTGGGTAGTTCACCACAATATCCTCCAGGGGAGTACATCAACCTGGGTAGTTCACTACAATATCCTCCAGGGGAGTACATCAACCTGGGTAGTTCACTACAATATCCTCCAGGGGAATACATCAACCTGGGTAGTTCACTACAATATCCTCCAGGGGAGTACATCAACCTGGGTAGTTCACTACAATATCCTCCAGGGGAGTACATCAACCTGGGTAGTTCACTACAATATCCTCCAGGGGAATACATCAACCTGGGTAGTTCACCACAATATCCTCCAGGGGAATACATCAACCTGGGTAGTTCACTACAATATCCTCCAGGGGAATACATCAACCTGGGTAGTTCACTACAATATCCTCCAGGGGAGTACATCAACCTGGGTAGTTCACTACAATCTCTGCAGTGAATGCACAGTTACTGTATTTGACTGATTTAGCAACCATCTCCGGTCAAGCTCTCACTTTTTACTTTTGTATAATTGTTATATTTATGGTCAAATCTACTGTCCTAATGAATTTTTTGAGGAGTGCTCACCTAAGCACACACCCTTTAAAAATCATTCGGTGCTAAGTGATCAAATGCAGTCTCTACAATGTAATAAAAAACTTTATAATCACAATAGATTTCCAATCCTGATAAAAATAAAGTGACAGCTTATAAAAGATAAATCAAACATAGCTATTGCTAATACTATTAATAACACTTTCTACTACAAGATGCACATGATGTTCTTGTGTCTTCTTCATTGTCTTCTATCCCCCTTGCAAACAGCAGTATTAACTGACAATGAACTCTGCAATGTAAAAAAAAGAATTACATGAACCGATGTGTGATAATCTATTGTACATGATCAGAGTCAGATTGAGAGATTCACCAAGACACACATGAACCGATA